GGGGAACCAGGTCTAGAGAAAAGGTTAGATCAAAAGGAATTAACCTAGAAGGTAACACCCATGCACAGGAAATCCAATGTGAAGTCCAATGCCCTGTATAGCTATCCTTATCTCAACCAGCAAAAACCTTGTTCTTCCTATTATTGCTTATACTCTCTCTATACAACCACAAATTAGAAGTAAGGATTAAAATCAGGTTTCTGCTGGGTATTGGGGGGGGAGAAGGAGGGGGCGGAGTGGGTGTAAGGGAGGGGGTGGGGGCATGGGGGGAGAAATGACCCAAGCCTTGTAATAACATAGTGAAATAATAAGAATAATTTAAAAAAAAGACTTAGGGGATATAGACTGGACAGTACTGTATGAATGTAAAGCGCACAACTTTTGATAATTTTTATTGTGTTATGTAAAGCAACTCTAAACCCTTGAGTCCATGCCTGGACATAATTGGTAAAGCGAGATAAAACATATGGAAGCTCAAAAAAAAATGAATGAGGACCTGGAAACCTTGTGTTCTCAAATGTGGGGCAGAGGGACAGAGAAGCAGATGCTGGCACAGAAAGAAGCTTGGGGTGAATCCATACATAACGTGGTAGCATGGGAGATGACGAGCTGGCTCAGGACTAAGAAATAATACTCACAGTTTAAGTGGCAGAAGATATTGGCGTGGAATGTCTTAGGGAATTGGAAGTCTGCTCAGATAGTGACTTCAAAAAGTGTATTGTAGGATGGGTAGGGAAGAGAGTGTGGCCAAGGATGGACCAATTGCATAAAGAAATGGTAGTAAGTAGCTGAATGTTTGGAGGTAGGAGATAAAAAAACTGAGAATGAGAGAGAAAAACCACAGAATGTCTCAAGCAGAGGAGTAAAATATAAATAATTCTTTCACTGTTAGGAAGTCAGCAATGGCCAATTTTGATGGATACTTTAGAATTTTCCTAATGATTACAAGAAACAGAAAGACAAAAAAGTATTTGGATAAATGATCTATTACATCTACAATGTTAAGGTTACCTAAAAACAAATTCTAGACTACTGCTTGGTAGGTGATTATGATTGGTGCTATAGTTTGGACATTAAATGTCTCCCAAGGTTTGGTGCATAGGGTGGCACTGCTGGAAGTTGCTGAACCCTAGGGATGTGAGCAGGGTGAGAAGCCTTGAAGTCAATGGGGGTGTGACTTGTTTCCTGGTCATGAAGTGAGTGGCTTTATTCTATCACATATTTCTAACATCAAGTTCTGCCTACCATAGGCCCAAAGCAATAGGGTCAACCAATAGTGGACTAGAATTCCAAAACTATAAGCAAAATAAACCTTTTATATCTTTTATAAACTGATTATTTCAGGTGTTTTGTTATAGTGATGGAAGCTAATACATCAAGTTACCAGTGAAGAATCAGAAGGAGTTACCCTCCCAAGCCTCTCACTGAGGTTATTAGATTGCTTAACCTTTCATGATATCCTCTATCTCTAACCCAGGATTCCCGGGAGTTACGAGGCATGGGGACAGAGGCAGGTGTATGGTTAGCAGGTCTGCTTTTAGGCATGGGGTCTGTATGTGACTGTGTTACGATGCACTAGTGATAATTACTATCATTCTGCTGCAGAACCAAAGTGCACTCCAGCGCGGTGAGGTATCTGCGTCATTACTGAATCTACTCATGAGAATTACTTACTAAGAGAAAGTATGAACTGACTTACACGTGTGACAGAAAGCCAGCTTTCTAATCCTATCCCTGCCGATTCAGCACTTACACAATCCACAGGAAAATTAAAAGTAATTCTCCAGCTGGCACTGTTTTTGGTACATTCTGAGTTCCTGTAAGAGCTTCTGATTTTCATCTTGTAGCTTGTTCCTGCTTAGTGCTATTTCACTCACAGCTGACTTTAATTTTTCAATGATGAATTCATCTCTTTCTTTGGTTTCACAACTGGAATCCGCTTCACAAACCAAATGAGGCATTTCAGAGCTGCTGTCTTCAGTGCACTGTTTTTTACCATTTAGTTGAGTTTGGTAATTTTGCACCTGTTTCTGAGAAATATGAGAACTGAATGAATTAAGTGAAGAACATTATATTTAAACTTACACAGAATAAAAGAATGAAAGAATCAATAAAATATCTTTTTTTGGTGGTACTGGAGTGTGAACTCAGGGCCTTGGGCTTATTAGGCAGGTGCTCTACCACTTAAGCTACACCTCCAGTTCTTTAAGTATGTTTTGTAACAATGGAGTTGGGCTTGAAGAATGCAGTACTGTTTGTTCTAAAATCTCAATTTCAGGCAGTACAAAATGTATTTTTATAATCTTACTGCTAAATTGTAGAGTAGGGAAGGGTAGAAAAGAGAGGTAGAAAAATCTTACTAAGCAAGAAAGAAAATCTAGAAGCTGCCAAAAGAAAAGATTTATGAATTCAATTATGCTCTAGTTGAAAAATGTCTTTATGACCAAAAATAAGCAAAACAGAATCAAATGAATTGTAGGGAAAAAGTTTGCTAACACACATAAAAAGGTTTAATGATTCCTTATGTATACTACTTCCACACATCAATAAGAAGTACAAATGCCACAAAAGGAAAACAAGCAGAGCATGAACAGACCACGCAGAAGAGAAGTTTTTGTGAGTTTTTGAGACAGGGTCTCACTATGTTGCTCAGGATGGCTTCAACCTTGTGATCCTCTGATCTCTGCCTCCTGAGTGGTAGGATTATAGGCGTGAACCACCATGCCCGAATGAAGACATACAGTGGAATTTTTAATAGCATCATGCTTTCAGACGTGTAGACTATATTTGTCATTAGAGATTACAAGTGTTGGTGATTGTACCCACCAGTGGACTTACTCTGGTTATTTTCCTTACATTTATGTTTCAATTTGTAAATAAATTACATGCTGAATGGCAAAGATGGCAATATTTAGCCTCTATTTTTTCTAATTTAGAGAAAAGTGTTAGATAATTTACCTGAAATTGATTACCTTTTTCAGACAGTAGTTTTTGTTGAGCATCTAAAGAAACCAGGTGCGTCTGATATAGTATCTCTTGCTTGTCCCATTCTCTTGATTTTGCTCTAAATTCCTTTGAAAAGTGGGGAGACAAACAAAATTGAAGAACATTATTCATTTAAAGGGCTCCTTTCATTTGTGTGTCTGGGTCCTGAGGGAGAAAAAGTAAGTTCACTCTTTAACCTAGTAGGAAAACAGCTAAGCAAAAATGTATCAAATCAGCATGTTGGATCTGTGACTACGACTGAGCATCCCTTATCTGAAATGCTGGGACTAGAGTGTTTCAGATTCTGGAATATTTGCCTGCACACAATGAGACACCTTAGAGATGCAACCCAAGCTGAAACACAAAATTCATTTGTTTCCCACGTACCTTACACACACTAGCTCGAAGCTAATTTTATACAATATTTTTAGTGTGCTGTGTTTTGACTGTAACTTATATGAGATCAGGTGTGGAATCTTCCACCTGTGGCATTATGCCAATATTCAATAAGGTTTGGGATTGTGGGGCTTTTGGAATTTCAAATATTACCCTGCAAGATGTAAAATTTGCAGGACTTCTAAAGAGAAAACCCAGGACTTCCTACAAAGTTTCTGCAATAGTGTAGCTTAAGGGCTATGATCCCAGACCTTATTTTTCTCTGGTATTAAAGATATTTGGGGCAGAAATACAGTTAATGGAAGAGTATGATGGGATACATGAAACGGGACCAAGACAACTAGACAGGAGGAAAGACAAAGGGCAGATCTGGGGTGCAATATGAAAAGTAAGAGAAAGGCCAGACCAAAAGTTCCTAAAAGTCTCTAATCTTTGTCATTGAAAGGTGGAAAACCATTACCAGACAATAAGTAGGATAAATAGGATTGTTGGCTGGGGATGGTGGTGCTGCAGTTTAGGGTTTGAGAAGAATGAAAGAAATTGAGACCTCTATCTCAACAAATATGTCAGGCATAGTGCCTCACAGCTGTAGACCAAGCTATGTAGGAGGCATACATAGGAATATTGCTGTCTGAAGCCAACCCAGGCAAAAAGTGAGACCCTATTCAAAAAACTAACTAAAGCCGGTAAGGGCAGGGGATGTGGCTCAAGGGGTAGAGCACCTGCCTAGCAAGCGCAAGGCTCTGAGTTCAAACCCCAGTACTGCCAATAGATAGACAGACAGACAGCAGCACTATCTATCTATAGGTGGGAAGCCCTGCTGAAGTCAGACTATAGGATTTTATGGTAGAATCCATGAGCCACTCATAACCTGCAGCGGGGATATTAAAGCATATAGCTGAAGGGGGTGCTGTTTCTCGCACTCCCTCCCTTGCTGGAGCGAGGCTTTCTCTCGTGCTCCTTGGTTATTTCTGGACCTAACTGGGTTTAACTGGGGGCGACTGGAGATTTGAGAAAAGACACAGGATAGACAGACAGACAGAAAGCTGGGGTCAGGTGTGTTGTACACTCGGCTGGAAATGCACAACCCTCATTGCTTCTTTTCTCTATCTTGATTTTTTAAGGCCTTACTTCTTGTAGTTCTTTAAAATCTTGCTTCTAAAGTCTTCTTTAAAACCTTGCTTAAAACCTCTTTCCTTAGGCTCCCACTGTCCCATGTTTGCTCTTAGCTTATCTTTAGCTTAATTGCCCTTCAAGTCTTTTGCCCCCAGGCTTGCACTATCCCATCTCTCTCAAAGCCTCAGTGCTCAAACTTGCAAACCAGCAGCCACAAAACTGCACATACCTAACTCTTAAGGTCTCGTCCTTAAGACTTGCACTGTGCACTGTCCCATGTTCTCTTTGGCTTTTCTTTAGCTCTCCTAAGGTCTATGTATGAAGTTCTTTCTCAGCCTTGCTTTCTGTTAAAGTTCTGTTAAAGTTTTGGGTGCAGACTTTCTATCAACCCCTCTTTAGCATTTTCCCTTCAACAACTCTTTTCCCTTCAGCAATTTTTCCCTTCAATAATTCTTTTCCCTTCCAAAAGCTTCCTTCACCAAAAGGCCCAAAGTAAAAGCTTCCTCCCAGTATTCAAAAGCGAAAAGCCCCCCAAAGCAAAAAGCCAAAAGCCAAGCAAAAAGTCCAAAAGCCCAAAGTAAAGCCCCAAAAAGCAAAAGCCCCTCTTCCTCCTTTAGGGGTCTTTTAAAGCAGAAAACTGGGTGGAGCCACAGGAAGGGGTGTGACATTGCAACAGGAGAAACGTGTGTTCCTGCTTCTCTGAAGCAACTTAGGAGATGAAGCTCTTCTGCCTTTCCCTGTTTCATGGCAGGGGCTGTGCCTATCTCTGCCTACATGTAAAAGAAATTAACTGCATCTTGATTTGCTTGTGTCCAGTTCTCATAGGCTTTAATCTGCTCCCCACATATAGGGAAGGAAAAAGTCGGTGTTTGTTTTCTAAGCTGGAAAGTTAAAAAGCTGAGAATAAGGGCATCTGTGACACAGCAAACTAAGATTTCAGACATTCTGGGTGAAATAGAGCAACTTAATTGGAGTTGCGCTATGCCTTTAAAGAAAACCCTGAAACGTCAAGTCCTGCTCTGAACACTATTGTGAGGCTACCTTAGGATTTAAGTGCCTAAGAGTTAAATGGCCATTAAAAGATTTATTAGATATGTGCTGTAACTGACCCCAGGGGTGTCCTTCAATTTCACTCAACAGCTGCAGTTTCTTTGAACGTTTTTCGGCTCTCCCAAAATACTGATATATATAAAAGATGCATAAATCAAAGTGATGTTTTAATTCATGAAGTGCTGGAAGGGAGGAAACTGTACTCAACAGAGGATGGTTGGCAATGGTGTTTGTTACCACCATGTGCACGCCCCCGCATGCACTAGAAACTGACACCTCAGTGCCCCCCATGAAATCAATCTTTATGACGCCTGAAGAAACTAAGAAAACATATCTCACCTCTAATTTTTGGCTCAAATTGCTCAGTTCAAACGGCATGTCTTCTCTGTGAGGAAATTCTTTTCGGTGAGCTTTGTTTTGCTTCATCTGATGTAATCTCAGTTTTTCAAAGTTGCTTGTTAGCTTAGAAAACTGTAATAGAAAAACACTAACATTTTACTATCAGCATTTCTTTCTAGCTTGAGCTCACCATGCTTCTTCTTGTGTATCTCTGAAAATTTAAGGCATGATGACAAAAGTTCAATAAAGCTTAACTGTTCCAATTAGTGAGACAGAACCGTTTATTAAAAATTAAATTACTGAAGCTGAACAGGATTTGGCCTTGATGTAAATTTGGGACTTCATTGACTTCACACTTAAATAACGATTCACTTGATAAATGTTTTGTTCAGTTTTGTCTTAACCATATATAGCAAAGTTCACAATTAAAACATTTTTTCTTACTTTTATTTAGTGCCATCTTGTGTTGACAATTTTAATTTTGGCAACTCAATATATAAAATAACCAGCTTAAGACAACATAGAAAAAAACTGATGACGATGAAGCCAAGGAGGAGAGAGAGACTCAATGTGTCTGCTGCATTTCCTCCATTGCACTGGGTAGACACGTGGGCAGGTGAGCTACCCCTTGGTTTTCATCATTTAACTATCTTGTAAACAGTGGCTAATTAAAAATAATAAAATAACCAGCATAGACCTTAACCAAGAAACTGAATAGTTGATGTAAAAGGTAACACTTCTATAAGCAGCACTGAGGAAATTTCCATATATCTGCTTCCAAATGTATTTTAGTTATACTTTTTATGCTGAAATAGCTACAGGTTCCAAGGAAGTTGCAAAGTTACACAGAGAGGTTCTGGGCCCATTTCACAAGTATCTCCACATGTGTACATCTTAATGAACTACCGTACATTATCAAACCCAACAATTTGAAATCGGTCCCTATATCTGTGTGTATACCCTCGGCCATTTATCACGCGTAGAGCTGAGCGACCACAATCAAACCAAGATACAGAACTCAGGCCAGAGGTGTAGCTCAGGGGCACAGCTTACATGAGGTCAGGGCACCAAGAGAGAGAAAGAGAGAGAGAGAGGGAGAGATAGTGAGAGAGAGATTCACAGAACTATTATATCATCACAAAGGTCAATCTCCTGCTACCTGCTGAGAGCCACACACATCCCCTCGTCCTCCTGCTCCTAGTTTCTGGTAACCAGTAATGTCTTTCCATTTTGGTAACTGTCATCTTGGGAATATTATAAAATAGTACATAATGTGTATATGACCCTCTGCGATTGGAGCTTTTTCATTCGCTTAATGTCCTCAAGGTCCACGCCATATCATTAGTGATTCCTCTTTAGTGCTGAGTATTTCATTGTATGAATGCATCACAGTGTGTTTAACCATTTACATACTGAGACTTTGTTTCCAGCTTTTGCCTATTACAAATAAAGTTATGAATAATTGTGTCTACTTTATCTGATATTAAAGTAGCTACTTTTGCATTTTTTTGCTTATGATTTCCTCATATGATTTCTTATGAAATGTATTTCACTTACCCTAAAATTTACCTGAACAGATTCCATTGCATGTATATACCACGGTTTGTTTACCATTCATCAGTTGTTGGGCATTTGAGTTCTTTCACTTCAGGGAAAGTATGAAGAAGCTGCTATGAACATTTACATGCAAGTTTTTGTGTGGCTATGTGCTTTCATTCCTCATGAATTTATACTTAGGAGTGGAACTGCTGCATTCTATAGGAACTCTAACTTTTGCAGAATCTGCTGAACTGTTTTCCCGAGGGGCGCCCCACTTCATATACCTGCTCACGATGTACTGGGTTGCAGTTTCCCCGTATCCTCATCACACTTGATAATGTTTTTATTACAGCCTTCCCCAAGGTGTGCGGGGGCTTCTCACTGTGGCTCTGATTTATGTTTCCCTAATGACTAGTGTGTTCAGTAGTTTTGCATGTGCTTATTGACCATCCATGTATCTTATTGGAGAGCTGTCTATTCAAATCTGTCTTTTTATTGTTGATCAGTGAGCTATGGCTTGGATTTGGTCAGAGTGTGTCCCACATACAAAAGCTCATTGCCGAGAATTGGTTCTCAGTGTGTGCTGTGTGAGAGGTGGCGGAGCCTTTAGCAGGTAGTGCCTAACAGGCGATCTTGTCATTGGGTTGCTAAAACTTGGAAGGCATATGTAGTTTCATCAGACCCTTGTTACTTTCTGAGAGAGTGGGCTGTTATAAAAAGAGCAAGTCTGACTCCTGAGTCTCTCTAGCTTCCTTCTTGACATGTGATTACGCTCATACAAATTCTCGCCACTGTCATGTCATCAACTGTATTCTAACAGTCAGAGGACCCCCCGAGGGCCAAAAGGGGAGGTTATGGGGTTTTCTGATCTAGGACTTTCAGTCTCCAAAACTGTGAGCTACATTAAACCTCTTAAAAATGCTGGCCTCAAGGTATTTTATCATAGCAACAGAAATGAAATACAAGCAGTGAATGTTTTATTTTTATATTATACACGATTTACAAATATTTTTTCCATTCTGTATGCTGTTTTTCATTCTGCAGATGGTGCTCTTGAAGCTTGAAAATTCTGATAGTCAAGTTATCTAATAT